GGGAAAGACTTTGAAATATCTAAAAGATAAAAACTAGTAGCTTATTTCAGGTGATAGAGAAGAAGAGCTGTTGTGGGTGATTTGGTCAAAAAAAAGAGTTCAGAGAATGATCTTGGCAGCAATCGTCTGGGTGGCTGTTAGTAGAGTAGAGCTGCATTTGTCAAGCCACAGAATCAGAGCCATAGTTAAGAGGTTGACTAATGAGAACCTGGATGAGAATTTTACCAGAAGTACCCATAAGGAATGCTTATCTTGGGCATTACACAAGAGAATCTGGACGTTTGGGTAGCTTAGTTGTGAGAACTACAAAAGAATTCTGACACAGGTGACACCCAGATCATCTGTATGAGGGTGATGACCAAGCATGATGTTTATGCACTTCATGGTATCTTTGGGAAGATGAGATACAAGAAGATTTAAAAAGTCATATTAGCCAGTTTAAGCATGAGCTAATTTAGACATCCACCAGGAGATGAAAAGAGAGACTGCTGAGGTTTTTTTAGTCCGCAAAAGGAGTTAGGTCTCACACGGAGAAGATTTGTGAGTTGTCATCACAGAAACAGTAGTTGAATGTGTTTTGCCAATAAGGTTTGCACAGTAATTGAACAGAGAAAGAGAAAAGAAAAGGATTATTTTGGAACCCACACAGAGTTGGAGATGGGATGAGGAGGATCCTCTGAAGGGCATGAATGAATGACAAGTTAGATATGTGAGAGGAGAGCCAAAAGAGGACAGAGACATGGAGAGCAAGAGTTGTAGAAGACAAGCATGGTTGACAAGGATGAGGATTGATTATTGGTTATGAGCTTTGTCTAGGAAGATGTTCTTTCAGAACACTTTCAGAGTGTTTTTTAGTGAAGTGCACTGGGCAGAAGTTGGTTTGAAGAGGGGTCTAGATACAGTGGTTGTTGAAGAGGCAAGTGGTGTCTGTGGTCCGTTTTTCAAGATGGACAAAATAATGTTTTTTTGTGATTGTGAAGAGCCAGAGCAAAGAGGATAAGAAGAATAATAAGGGAGGAAGACTAGAGGGGGCAGGAGGGAGCTTGGGACAGGGATTGATGGGGTGATTGTGGCAAGTGGAAGAGGAAAAACAGATGCATAGCATTGGGGAGGGAAAAGAGGAAGGTAATTTATCTTGTCAGTTTTCTGTTCCAAGACATTGGGAACATCCTTTTGCAGATAGTGAAGTAGAGATAGGAAGACCATCAGGGTTTGAGGAATGAGACCAGGGAGGCTGAGATTGCAAGTGTGGTATTCAACTAAGGTGCAATAATAGAATAGTCAATAATGAAGATGGCTGAACTTAAAAAACACATTTTAGTGGCAGAAGGCATCCTTGTCATGATTTGAATCATGCAGAGATCCAGCAGTTAATGGGCTTTTTGACAAGTGTGAGTGTTGATCCAGGGCTCCAAGATGAATGGGGAGGTGAGGGTGAGGAAACCTGCAGCTTAATAGGTTGGTGGGGTAGGGTCATCCACATGCATCAGAAACCACTGAGGATAAATGTGTAAGGTATGGCAGGATCATGTGGAGGAGTTGGATGAAGAGGTAAATGAGTAGTGGATGTGGGAGAGGACCAACTTGGAAGCAGCAAACTAGGGAGGAGAAGCTCAGTACCTCACCCTTAGGCAATACCCAACGAAAACTGATGCCTCCCTGAACAAGTTATTCTATAAGGTGCCACTTTGCCCTGCCTTCTGCCTAACTTCAGACTAATACAGCTAGCTGTCTCTCTCACTGCTACCATAGTTTGTGATTCATGCTAGAGAATTCAAGAGAGTGGCTTCTTGAAGAGTAACACAGCTGCAGAGGTGGGGTCAGACAAAAGGAACCAGGTCCTAGGGAGGCCACAAGCTGCAGGGGAGGCACTTATGGAAAAGTGGTGTAGGTCTGTGATCTTCTTAGTGAAGAAATGGGCATTCTGGAGAATTCAGGAGGGTGGATGAGAGGCATAAGATTAGCAGTGGAAGTAGGATTGGAGGTAAAGAGGTTAGGGACAGAGGAGAGGTTGCTGGAGGAGGGAAGGTGAAGAGAGGAGGAAGACATGGTTTTGAGTCCTGGGTTTGTGTTGGAAGTGAGAAGATATCAGGGAGGGCAGAAAAGCAGAGGATTGAAGAATGTGTTCAGGAGTCTTATGAGAAGTGTAATTGTTACAGAGGCCACAGGCACTGATCCCTTGAAACTGTAAGCAGCTATACCTGTAGATGAGCTCAGTCTCTCTTTTTAAACATTGATTCCATTCTGTGCATCTCATCAACTGTTTTTTTTGTGTGTCTTTTAAAAGTTGTTTTGTAGGATACAAGAAAGTTCCCAGCTGCTTTATAAACTGGAGCAAAATAAAACCAAGCAAGAGTCAGTTAAAGAACTGGCAAAATTGGATCCTTTTGGCACTTTACAGCAATATAAAGTAAGTACTAGAGCTGGTAAAAATACTACTGCTACTACTACTACTAGAACACTTTATAAATAACTCCTGATTAATACTTGAAACACCCCACAGGATGGTAAAAAGTTGCATATAAAATAAAGGAAACAAGTAACTCATCTACTGTGGGCTAAAATGAGGACCCTCCTGACTTCTGCCCCCATGCATATTCTCCAGAACATGTTGCCTCTTGATAAGAGAAAGTGTATAGGAGAATGACTTACAGAATTGACAGACTGAGTTTGCAGGATTTTGTACTTGTCTTTCCTCTGATTTCATGTTTAGAGTCCTATAATAACCTCTTATTTTTATTATTGTTATGTTGGGCTGTTCCTAATTTTACCTGCCTTGCTAATGACTATAATTTTGTTTGAGTGCAAAGGAATTCTTTTCTTCCCCACTGACCCTGAAAAATAAAACAAGCTGCTACAGAGAGACTAGCTAGTGGCTATGGGGAAAGACTTTTTTTTTTTAGTGACCTGTAACCTTACAGATATATTGAGTGGCATCTTGAATCAAAGCTTTGCTGTATCAAGTTTTCCAAATTTATTTGCGTGTTGCACACAATCCATTCAAATTGTCTTTTCTAATCTTCAGGATTTCGTATCATCTGTATGTGACAGACTTTTTGAAGCCCTGTTTCCTGGATCATCTCATCCAACCAGATTTTCTGCATTAACTATTTTGGGATCGATAGCTGAAATATTTTCTGTTCCAAATGGTGAGAGATCTCATTTATGTGATGGGATTGAGGAGGATTAAATCAGGGTCTTTCTCCGTTAACTAATTATTTTCTCACCAAAATATATCAGTTCCCCAATACCTGATTTCTGTGACATTTAAGGTATAATTTGTTATGTTGTTCTTTCCTACAAGAAAATGACAGTTCTAGTAGAATAAGAAAACGTATTTTTTGGAATAACAGTAAATGGTTAGGGGATGCAAAGTACAGACTTCATAAAATATGAGTGGTTTAATGCACAGAACTTTTCTGTTTTGAGCATGAATTTCAATAAAGTTTTCAGGCTCCCTACTTCTTCCCCCGAATCAAAATTTTGCTGTCTCTTCTGTAGCTCATTGTCTAGAAGTCCCTGAAATCAAAGTACTATTAAATCTATCTTTGGCATAATATTAAATATACTATGTTGCATATGCACCTCAAATTTTGATACAGAGCTCTTTCTGGGCTTGAAATGCAAAAATACAAATTAGGATTCAACCTTTACTAGGGGTCGCATCTGTAATTTATTCTTCCCTAATACCTTCTTTTTTTTAAATCAATCCATCTTTTAATTTTAAACCTACCACAGTAGATGTACTGACAGTTTGATTTGTTTGTACTGTGCAGGTGCCTTCTTCAAAGTAATTTATCAGGGTGCAGTATAAATACAAAATAATATTATAGGATTGCATACCGTTTACACAAAAGATTTAGCGATATTCTTGCAAAAGTTTTGTAACTATTCAATCTGAGTTAGTCTGTAGAAACATTAAGAAGTTCTAGTTTTATATGAATAAATTACCAAGTTAATATGTAATCTATTTTAACTTGCCCATTTCTATGGTATCTAGAGACCAACAGAATTCCATTAACTAATTAATTAATTTATAACCCGAGCCTGAGATCCTGACTCCACCTGAGTAATAGCTTTCTCCATGAGAAGCTCTGTTGACTTCATTGTTCTTATTTTATACCAGCCTGTTTCTTGAACCCTTTTTTCCCCCCCCTTAAGTGTCAAAGTTCAAAAATAAACATTTTTTAGTAAAAGAGAATGTAACATTGTTAGCCAGGCTGCTTCCAGAACAAAGAAAGTCTCTTTGGTGGCATGTAAAAGAGACCAAAATACTGACATGCTATTAGAAATGTGTACTGCAGAAGATGAGATTTGAATGCAGTTGGATGATAGTGGGTTTTCAAAGTACTGACAACAAGAGGGGAGGGAGGAGGTGTTTTAATTAGGTAATTACTAATTAATGATTATTCTGATGCTGATAACTGTTAGAATAATAAAACTGTAGTTCTCTCGGTATTAGAATTATTTTAACATTCTGAAGTATTTATTTTCATAATCTGTTTTATGGTGTTTGTAACCAGTAAATGTTGTGTTTAGATTGTGTAAATAGCTTAAATACAAGATGCTTTCAACTCAGAAATTGGAAGGATTATGTGGAAGAAGCTAGACATCATTTGTTACTTTTGGTTTTGAACTAAGGGAAAATTACTCATGCTACGATTTCCTCTTCCACCAAAACCTGTGTTTTTAAATTATGAATGCTTTAATCTTATTTTCCTAAGGCTATTTTATGAACAGTTATAGTGGGAGTTGCAGTAGAGGCCTGCACAATTCAGAAACTAGGCATTAACTTCTAGAAAGACTTTGTTAGACATTTAGCTAGAATAATCTTTTGTGTAATGTATTCTTCAAAATGACAGGTACCTCTTGAGTTCGTACCTCCATAGATTCATAGATGTTAGGGTAGGAAGGGACCTCAATAGATCATCGAGTCCGACCCCCTGCATAAGCAGGAAAGA